TGTGAACTTGAACCAAGCCCCTCCCCAGTCAAGACCTTGGCCATGGCTGCAGCTTTGTGAGAGACCCAAAGCAAAGAGTGCAGATAAGCTACAACCTGGTTCCTGACCACAGAAACTGGGATTACAAATGTGTGTGGTTTTAAACTTCTTAGTTTGTGGTTAATTGATACATAGCGATATAAAGCTAACACAGAGGTGCGTTGATTTTCTTGAGCTGCCATAACAAAGTACCACAGATTGAATTTACTTTCTTACACTTCTGGAGGTCAGAAGTCTGAGATCAGGGTGTCAGAAAGGTTTGTTTTTTCCTTCTGCTTCTCTCCTTACCTATAGAAGTCCAGTGTCTCTCTGTGTCCTCACATGGTCTTTCTTGAATGTCTGTCTGTGTTCCAGTTTCTCCTTACTATATAGACACCAGCCATTTTGGATTACAGCTTACACTGCTGGCTTAATTACCTCTTTGAACATCCCATCTTCAAACATAGTCGCATTCTGAGGTCTGAGGGTTACATCTTCAACATATGAATTTTGCAGGAATAACTCAGATCATAATTAGCTGTATAAAAATTGACAATTTTTTTTTACTTTATAATTTTTTTACCTTTGTAACTAAAACAGTAGAACTTATTGTCTATGAAGGTCTTTTGCTTCCTTGCTTTTCTGTACTTGCCATAATGATATATTTTTGTATGATTTACATGTGTATTATCTGTATCACATGAGTTAGCATATATTTTTGCATATCCCTGTCTCCATAATAAAACTATAATCCCTATATGCTTATGCTTTACATATAACACTTTACAGTGTTTAAGATAATGTTATTAAATGCATTTTCAAATTTTAGTTTAACCTTTTGTGTTTACTTGTACATTTCTATATGAGTGTTCTAGAAGCAATTTATCTTAAAACTAATGACTTATTCAACATACAGAAACCTGAAAAATTTGCATCTATTTTGAATTATGTGTACTTTTAGGTCATGGTGAGACCAGAAAATCTGTCTTGCCATTTGGCAATCCAGATATTGGATACACTGTTAGAGCCTAGCAATACTGTGCTGCTGATTCATTAAGACACTATTTTTCTCTGAGTATAAATGGCACTGTATATTTTTAAATATTTTCCCAAATTGCCAAAACAAAAAATCTACTACACAGAATAGTTTCTTTATATTATACATTAGTGGATCTCACGTGTGGACTGAAGATCTTAGGAAGTCCCTGGAACTTTCTTAGGGGATCTGCAAGGTCAAAAACTAGTTTCAAAATAAAGTGAAGATATTACTTGCCTTTTTAAGAAGATTATGTTGATGTTTTTTCTTTTTCGATGGTACTGGGCTTCACTGTTGCTGCTCAGGTGCTCTACCACTTGAGCCATACCTCCATGCCTTTTTTGTGTTGATTATATTTGAGATAGGGTCTCCCAAACTATTTACCAAGGACTGGCCTTGAACCACAATTCTCCTGATCTCTGCCTCCTGAATAACTAGGTTTACAACCATGAGCCACTGGCACCTGACAAGATTATGTTGACTCTTGCCCATGTGTTCATGTATATTGCATCATAAATGCAAAAGAAATAGTGAGTAAAATTTCTGAAGCCTTTTGCATGAATCAAGGAAGAATTACTAGATTTGGTATTTTTCAGCATCATGCACTTGCAGAAAAAACAAAAGAGGAAGTTAATTTCACTTGAGATTGTCCAGAATTAGCTGATTAAAATTATTACTGCTGTTAAATCTTGACCTTTGGTTGTGCATCTTTGCAGTATTCCATGTGACTAAGTGGAAAGTATGCACAAAACACTTTTGTTCTACACCAAAGTGCAGTGGCTGTCTCAAGGAAAAGTAGTAGCTGAGCACTTGTTTGAATCGAGAGCTGAAATAGCTGGTTTTTCACAGAACAACATTTTTACTGGAAAGAACGATTGAAAAATGAACTAAGATTACTTTGGACGTAGGTATTTGACAGACATTTTCTAAAAAATGAAGGAAGTGAGCCTGTCACTTCAAGGGAAACAAGTGCAGCTGGCAGTATTTATTGCTGATGTCATAATTTAAACTTTCAAACAAAAATTGAGTTTAGAAAACTTACATCTACCTATGTGAGCTTGACTCTTTTTAAATTTAAGATTGTCATCATGAAATGGTAGTGATTATTAACAAATGTTACTTTTATGAAATTATATAATTAAATATTTTAGCATTAAGAAAGACTAAATAATGTATGGAACCAGTATTTTCCAAATGATCAGGTTATGTTATAAAATTGTGCTTGAGTAAAATATTCTTTCAAAGTGCAAGAAAAAACCTAATAGATTTTAATGTAACAGAGTGAAGTTTTGTTATATTAGATAGTGCACAATGTTGAAAATACATTTGATTTAAACACTAAAGTTATAACTGCATTTGATATGATTCATAAAATTCATTGATAAGGTTTCATATTTCACATGGTGTCTTATCTTTCAGAAAATACCATCTGTTGAGTTTTTGTGTAACTTTAAAGAGTAGTATCCACAATTATCTGAAAAGCCTATTAAAGTATTTCTTTTTCTATTTACCCCTGTAAGGACAGGTGTTCTTCATATACTTAACAACATATTGCAATAGGTTAAAAATTAAAGGAAATGTAATATAATTATCTCTATGTCGAATATTAGAGTTTTGTGAAACTATAAAACAATGCCTCTCTTCTCGCTATTTTTATTTTGGAAAATACAGTATTTGTCATGAAAAATATGATATTGCACTAGAGTTGGAAAACTAGTATTTTGAATCTAGAGGGAAATTTTGATGAAGAACAGAATGTTTGCATGGTCTTAAAATGTCTCTTGCAGGGTATGGTGAACATATCTGTAATCCCAGCACTCAGGAGGCTGAGACAGGAGGATTGTAAATTTGAGGCCAGCCTGGGCTACATAGTGAGATCCTGTCTCAAAAAACAAGGGCTAGAGATGCAGCTTGGTGATAGAACACTTGTCTAGCATGCAGAAGGCACTGGGTTTGAGTTCAAGCTTTCAAGCTACAGTGCTGTAAAATAAAGAGTAATTATATAGAGGGGAAATCAATGCCACCATAAACTGTTAATCAAAGTTACCATCACATTTGAGGAGCTGGTGAACACAGTGTCCCACTGGAACTGATAGCCTTAGAAAGATAGTTTTACCTTAGAAGGTGTAGCCTACATCAAACTGAAATGAGAAACATTCTTTTAAAATGGGAAGATAATCTTCAAAGATGTAAAGGTCATAAAAGACAGGGTGTTGAAATGTTCCATGTTAAAGGAATTAAAGAGAAATGAGAACTAAATCCCATTGCTGACTCTAGCTTGGATGCTGTGTTAAGGGAGGGAAATGCTGTTAATAACATTATCATGGTAAATTAGAAAAAATTGGAATATGGATGGTAAAGTACTGTATCAATGCAAAATTTGCTGAAGTTGACAAGGATACTGCAATAGTAAGAAAATATCCAAATTTTTAGGTAATTAACACTGAAATTTCATGAGTAAGGATCTTGATATTTGTAAGTTACCTTCAAATGACACAGAAAAAATATATGTAAGTATGCGTTTATATATTTGTGTATACACACAGATGATTAAATAAGTATGTATGCTTAGTGACAGAGAAAGAGAGTAAAATATTAATAATAGGTATGTTTAGGTAAATACTGTAAGGGTACTCCCACACTATTTAAAAAATGTTAGTGAGTTTCAGTTATTTCCAAATAAGTGGTTAAAAATGAAGTGCAAGTAGTGCTTTAACTATGTAATGTGCTCATTATTGTATTTAAAGCAGTATATATTTAAATCTTCCTCAGTTTAAATTTCTAATAGAGTAAATGTTAGAAAACTACTGTAAATAAGCAAAAGCTCTTGGTGTCCTTGACTGTTTTCAAGAGTAAAAGGAATTCTGAGACCACAGAAATTGACACACACTGCGTGGATGATGAAATAGGTCTCCCCCTCATTCTTGTAACTCTACTTTAGGACACCAATGAGAACCAATTTCGAAGATGACACTTACTGATATTCTAATGTAGGGCCAGCCACTCGTAACTTCTCTATGCCATAGTTCTCTCATATGTAAAGCAGGTACAGTAATGCTGCCCATCTCAGTGCTACAGTAAGGTTTCAATCATGTATTCTGTATAAAGACTCTCAATGAATGAGCATCTCACAGGGCTGTTCTTAGAGGCAACATATGTATCTGTGTTCTTGTCTCTGCCATTTATTTTGTACTCGGTATGTGATTTGGGTTTTGTACTACCACAAGGAAACTAAAGGAGAGTATCAAAATAGTCCTAAAATGCAAAGTTTTAATGGCTTATACCCCTATATTAGAGTAGTTAGGGAAACAGAAAAGTGGAGACAAGCAAGCAGTAGGGCATTTTTGAAAATTCTTGATTTGGGGAAGAGCATTTTATATATAATAGGAAACTGGAGCCATGGTTAAATGAGGAATGACTGATAGAACATTTGACTACACAGAAAACACTTCTTCCTCAGGAGTACACTGTAATTACCATATTCAGCCCTAGTTGAATGGCATTCTGGTTTCCAGATATGCATCCTCTGTTCTAAATGGGTATGCCTGTATTGAGGTATTTAAGTTGTAATGAACACCTATAATCCTAGCACTTGGTCTATGTGGTAAAACCCTATCTCAAAAGGACAAAAACTTGATGTAATGACATTTACTTATGGTAAAGATAAGAAAGAACAGTATTGTTTTGTGCCAATTCTACCGTTCCTGTAGCCCCAAATTTAGCAGTATTCTATTCCTCACTCTATCAAGTATCAAGCCAATAAAAACTAAGAATATTAGATTGTTGAACTATGTAGAATTCACCCAAATTCAAATTTAAATAATCCCTGTTTTTAAAAGAAATCAAAGGATAAATAAAAACAAAGTCATTTAATTATACTGTTTATTATGTTTTGCTCTTTTTTCCTTTATTGTGATTTATTTTTCTGCATTTTTTTAAAAAACAGATCATCAGAAACTGGAAAGGGAAGCTAGAATCTGCCGTCTTTTGAAACACCCCAACATTGGTGAGGAAATGTTTTCAACATATTTTAAATGTTATATGCTATATTGTACCACAATAAAATGTTAATTTTGATATCCAGAATACTTACCAATTATTTGCAATCAAATATTTATAACTATTAGCATATATATTCCTGCCTTTTGGTCTTGGTTACACTTGATTCTGCATAGGTTTTTATATGTTTATTTTTTTATGCCATCTTTGAAGGAGTAATGAAAAATAAAAACCATCTCCCCAAATTAGACTGATCCTAGTTTGTGCAAATTAATATGCCATATAGTGAATCAATAGTCTATGTTTCCTGTTTTGTGTTGAAAGTTGACTGCACACCATCCAGTTGACATATTGAGTGTAATTTAAGATTAAATCAATTAAAAGTAAGTAATTCTTGTTTATATTATATTAGCTTTATTTTAATTACATATTTTGGAGTCTGCTACACTAACTAATTCAATTTCCCTCTGTGGACTCACGTGAACTAAAAATGATAATCCTTTACCTAATTTGGGGAAGAGTTATGAAGGCAAAAATAAATACCAAAGTTTTCTGAAAAGTAGATAGGAATCCTACCTGGTGATGTAGTTAATGGTAGAGTGCTATGTTCAATCTCCAGCACCACAAGAAGACAAAAAGAAGTATCAATTCTATATAAATTAGCACTTTAAAGGATAGTATGTGGATAGTGTTTTAAGTGTAATTAAGAATTGTTAACCTGTTGCTGGTGAAGTATGGAGAGACAGAACTTAGGCCATTAACTTAACTAAATTAATTTGCATTTATTCTGTAAAAAGTTTACCTTCTATTCATTGATTCCATTCTACAAATTAGTGAAATGAATTTAGAATGTTATCCCTCATGAATTATAGAATAACATGATAGTTTACAATTTTTTTCATTAGTGAATATAAGAAAATTAGAAACAGGAAATTAAAAAATGAAGCTATATTAAATTAGCTTGTGTGATAAGGACTTTATTTTAGAAAAATAATATTGTCCTAGCACCCTGGGTTTTATCGTCAACCAAAGAATTTCTGATCTAGAAATATTGAGAAAAAGAAGTGATAATGCAGTAGAATTAGCAAAATCATTCACTGAGGTTTGTAGCTCTCTTATTTTCATGTGTAGGTCCACTCAGTATCTATTCCTGCCTTGAAGCTTTTAGTATTCTGCATTGAGAGGGTACAACTTAGGCTCCTAGGTGAGTGAGTAAATCTAAGCATTGCATGTCATGTCGACAGCTGTCTAAAAGGAAGCTTCTTGTTTGGGGGGAGAGAACAAAACAATGAAACGTGAGTCCACCTCCTTACACGTAATTTGCCCTGACAGAAGGCTATGGCTGTAGGATAGATCCTCTTTGTCCACTGGACTTACAGGTGGCCAGCCTTCCTGTGTCACATGGTCTTTCTGCTGTATAATGTCTATGTCCTAATTTTTTTTTATAAGGACACCAGTCATATTGAATTGTAGCTCTCACTAATGACCTAATTTCACTTAATTACTCCCTCAAACAACATCCCTCCAATTACAGTCAGTCACCATTTGAGGTACTAGGGGTAAGATTGCGACATGTGAATTATAAATTTGGAGGAATGCAAATCATCCCATAGTACAGGCTGAAGAAAAATTTCCCAATATAACCCACTGTAGTTCAAAAGGTACTTTTCTTGTTCAAGTTTAGGATAAAATGAAATTTTTGTTTAGTGAACTTGAATTTCCTGTGCAGAGGACTGTTGCTTGTTTGTTTTGTTTTTTCAAGATCCTTCTGTGAAACTCAATTTCTGTGGTTAATGAAATTAGTTTTCTCCATTTCCTCTAGGAGAACAAAGTCAAACATTCAAAAGACTTTCAAGCTAGATAGGAACTATTTTCATTTTGACACTTCATGCAGAATAATCTTATCACAGAAAGGGATGGTTGTACATTGGTTCTGCAGTTCTGTGACCTAGACAGCACCATCAACATATTCAGATGCTGTGTATACTTTTTTCAGGGGTTCATAGTAGCCAAATATCATAACTTCTTGGTTATTCCACTTCAGGTTTTTTTTTTACATCGCTCCACACTTCAGGAGTACAAAAGAAACTGTGGACACTTGAAGTCCTTGAGCCACAGTAGGACTCATTTCTAACCACAAGGGAGATTTTTAGTACTTCTGTAACTCAGGGTACATAAATCATAGATGGATTAAGCTCATAAGACATAATCTCAGACGTCATCGTACTGGAGAATTCACTTACATGATTGATTCACTCAGAAGTTAGTATCTGGGAGTAGAAGAGTTAGAAGGCAGACTGATATCCTGCCCTTCAGAGCTTCCTTTGTTAGGGGAGATTTAAAGAAAGTAAAGGATGTTAGACACTGATACATTTTGAGGAAAAGAAAGCAGGAAAGGGAAGTAGAGAACACAGGGGGATTCCGATTTTAAACAATTGGTCAGGACATCATCATTGTGAAGTTAAGATTTGAGTAAAGACCTAAAAGATGGGAAGAAGCAAGTCATTTGGCTAGAGGGGGGAAAACCAAAACCCCCAAACAAGCAAACAAAAGCATTGTAAGCACAGGGAACCAGTAGCCTACAGAAAGACCTTGAGACAGGACTTTTTTTGCCCAGTGAATTCCACCTTTTTATCTAATAGGAGAAGTGAGGGCAAGTTACGTTTTGTTTTATAATAGCTATTTTATTTGATAGGTTTCCAGGTAATCTGACTTTGTTGTATTTACTCATGTGAAGAACAATGATTTAAAGGCTACTGCAATAACAATAGTCATCGTCACAAAGTAGGAAGCAGTAGTTAACAAATAGGGATGTTTTAAAGATAAATGCTATACACGGGCAGCTAAACTGTAGGAGAGTAGAGAGTAGAACTCACTGTAGGTAGCAGTACCTAGGTGGGAGGTCACCAGCATTTCCTACTGCATCAGACTGTGTGGCAGAAAGTGGTCTTGATTTCCTGGAAACACAGTAATGTGGTATCTATTTGATATGAAACCTTTATCCTCTATTTTACTATTTGCTTTGTTATTTTATTGCTTCTTCTATTTCATTAGTTAAGATCTGTTAGGTTTTAAAACTTCAAGGAAGAAGATATTATTTTTTGACAGCTTTTCCCCTGTGAACATTTGCTTGTTTCATTTTTGATTGCCTTGCACTCAGCATAATCTTGAGAACTTGTAGCAAGCAAAATATTTCTACCAAAGAAACACATTTTAAACCAACTAAGAGTCATAATTCATTAAGCCATTTTTTCAGTGCTTTTCAAAAATGTTTTTCTGATCTTAAGAGGTAAAATATACTCTTAGTGGAAAATTTAGAAAAGATAATGTGTGAAGAAGAAACCAGAGGGGAGAGTTTTTAAAATTTGTTACATACATTTTTGTCTTTATATAAGAAATTTTATATATATGCTAAATTTCAGTGTTCTCTTATGTACACTTTCATAGCCCTTTAGATATACTATGAAAATTGTCTCACTCAACAGAATTTCTTGAGTGTGGAATCTGCTGAAATGTACTCTGGGCTGTACACACTGATGATGAAGTAGTGATCAAAAGAGACAATGTCTCTGCTTTCCTGGAGCCTCACATCCTAGTGTGTAAATAAATAAGCATCATAGTAATGACATAAAGATTTGTTTTGTACACATAATTGAAGTAGGGTAATTTGATATCAGGAGACTGAGTGGCTACTGTCAAAAACAAACAGCCAGATACTAGTTAAAGGCAATGAAGACAGATTTTATTCAGGACTGCTACAACAAGGAAAAAACTAACCTGCATTCAGATACAACAGCACTTAAACATCAAGGAGGTGAGGGTAGGGCTTGATATCAAAGGTGAGGCATGACTTACAGAATTCTTCACTCAGTCCAAGGAAGGTCAGTGAGTATCCAAGGACAAGTCCCATATGAAAGATGGGACTGTGGAGTCACATTTACATGAAGGCCAAAACCATCATGAAAATCCCTAGGGAGAAAGTGTGTCATGTAGCAGGAGCTTCCCTTGAGAGGACACTAGTGGATGGCTTGCCATGGGGGCAGGAGAGGGACAGAGCTGGCCAGGTAGTAATCATGTAAACATGGTTAGGATGTTTGGGTCTCATCCTAAGTGCGATAGGAAGCTATTAGAAGGTTTTAAGGAGAGTGTATCATAATCTGATTGACTCTAACTGCCATGTGTAAAATGGGTTGTAGTCAGAGGCACGTAGGGATAATATGTTTAGTCAGTATGTTACAGTCATAATATTACAGTAACATCTTGTAAGCTATCTTCTACAAACTAATTTTTTAAATTTTAATAATTGAGGAACTAACATTTTCTAAATCCAGAGTCACACTTGTTTCTTTTGGCAGTATTGGTGTTTGAACTCAAGGTCTCATGCCTGCTAGGCAGGTGCTCTACCACTTGAGCCACACCCCCAACCCTTTTTGGCTTTTAGTTATTTTTTGGATTGGGTCTTGTATATTTGTCCAGGACCAACCTCCAACTACAATTCATCCTGTATAGCTGGAACTACAAGCATGTAGCTGGAATTACAGGTATGCACCACCCTCCACCTGGCTTGTTGGTTGAGATGATGTCTCATTAACTTTTTACCCAAGCTGTCTTCAAGCCACATTCCTCCTGATCTCTGCCATCTTAGTAGCTGGTTTTACAGACAGGCCACCACCATGCCAGGCCCCAGAGTCACAATTCTTTAATGACATGCCACTCCTAAATTCTTGATTATCTCTATAAAGAGGTGTACTGATATGTAGAGAACCTAAACTGAAGCAACAAGTTGAAAAGTTGTTGGTGGTTTTGTTCCCTTTTAAATAGAATTTTGAGGGTTTTTGTTGTTATTGTTGTTGTTGTTCAAACCAATTGCTCCTCTCGTGTAGATAAATATCAAGTTAAATGTTCTAATTCAGCTAGAACCCTAGTAGGGAACCATATATTTCAGAAAGATGCTTTGCCTGTGTGGGTTTTACTAACACATGTAACAGTACATAAAATTCTATATGC